CTATGCACCCACGGAACAGACCTGCATGTCACAACTGCTCTAAACAGAGTTTGTAAAAGCTGTGATCTGAGCCTTGTGAAAGCCAGCTATGTCCTTCGCTGCACAGTAACCCAAATACAGCCTTCCCACTGCTGCAAGCACACATGCACACCTCCAGCTCCAAGCCTGCCCACATACACGGCTGCTCCTTGCCTGCCTGACTATAGATTACAAACGGAGCTCTTGGCCTGCTCAAAACTCATGAAATTTACAAAAAAATAAGAGGAATTCATGCAACAACAAATTGGTCTTCACCATCCTGCAGTGCTTACAGCTCCACGCTCCCAGCAGGACCAGGAAACTCCCCCACCGTTGACAGGGAAAGGACCATTTAACCCAGCAGAGACAAGGATGAGGGCAGCCAGGTTACACAGAGATTTAGAAGGAAGAGGGCTTTTTTTTTTTTTTGCTCTTCACAATCAGGTGGGCTCCGACATTTCCTGACAGCATAATTAGGCTGCTCAGTCTCTATCCAGCTCCTTCTAGAGCAGCTCCACTACTGTCTCTGCAGACAGGGTATTACTTCAGATGGAATCACTTCAGATGTATCCCTGGCTCAACCTGGTACGGCTGTCTTCACTTTATCTTATCCAGCAGATTACAATATATGCCCACATACTTCAAGCATAGAGCAACAGCATCAGCAAAAATTCACTAATAGGAGAAATATTTTCCTAACAGAGTACTCAAAGCAGGAGGTGGACATCTCCTCCAAGCACTCAGCAACCGGAATGAAACATTCTGAGCTTTCTCCCAAGGCTCAAAAGGAGAGCTGACCCAGGGATGCCCTGAGATTCTTGTTCATTTCATAACAAGCCGATGGTAAAAGGAAATTGAGCTGAATATTTATGTGCTTAAGGCCATTTAAAGTGGAGACTTACTTTCCTAATGTAGAAGGTTTTCCCAGCCTTCTGAGGGCAGGAGACAGAAAAAGAAATGCCTTTCAGTGAAAGCACCAGTAATACAGGAGTTCCCCCAAAATAATTAGCAGTGCGAGAGGAAAAACTAACATCAACCTTCCCTAAGGGCAGGCTTCACATTTATGAAATCTATATATCCAAAGGTCACTGAAGTTCACAGAACCCACTGCTATATTAGATCGTTGTTAATTGCAGCAGCTTTTCCAGACCTCAGAGAAAACACTCCTCAGGACCATTTCTTTCCTTCATTTGGCTTTTTGGTTAAGTACAGGAACAAAATGGAACAGGAAACCACGGGCACAGCCACCGTGGCCACGAGAGGCTGTTTCTAGGCATTGGGGGCATGGGGCCAAACACTGCAGCAGCACAAGGGCCCAAATGGACACACACGCATCCTTCTTCATCAGGCAACACATTCTGCATCCCATGCCAACGGAGAACTTGAAAATAGGTTTGCAGTGAGCAAGTCCGCAGGGAACCAGACAAAACTGAGTAACTAACACAATCCTTATTTGCCAGCTGATACAGATGGCTTTCAACAGGAAGGTAATAACACGTCTTAGGAAAACATAAGCCCTCCCAGAGAGAAAAAGGGTCATTTTGGCACTGAATTTTTCCGAATGTTCTCAGAAAACTCAGCAGGAAATGGAAGAATGGAAACGTTCTCTCTCTGCATAAATTCTTATATCAGGTTAGATTAGATCAATGCCCCCAGGAAGGATTACAGCTCTAGGCAGTTAGTGGATGCTCCTACTTCAGTTCTCATGGTGCTTTTCTCCCACTGACTGAAACAGCACTAAGTTTCATCCTTAATTCCCCCACAAAGACACAGCTCTGTTACCTGCAGGCCACACTGCTCATCAGAGAAGCAGCAAAATATATCCAACTCCGGCCAAATACAGAATACAAATAGCATTCCAGTTGCTATTTCCCCTCTTTCTTCTGTTTTCTAAACATGCAGAAGCAAATTGAAACTCAGACATTTCTCTCTGTTTTCCTAATGGAACTTTAGCAAGCCTGCTGTGCAATTGTCTGCAAGAGGCTATGGAAAACAAAAAAGGGCAAAGCAAACCACAGGGGTTAACCTGCAGGGCAACTACTTCAGTAGAAGCAGCTGAAAACAAATCATTTGTAGGCACACACATGAAGCCAAGGCTTATTTGTCAGAGGAGGAAGTATCAAAGACTTTGAACATAGCCATCCACCTCCTGTGCCACCCGCAACAGTTCTGTGCTTGCAGCATTGCAGCTGTAACTGTAATGACAAAACCTCTGCAAAAGGAGTGGTACAAACGTCAGGGAAGGTGGAAGAATAAAAGGTGACTACATCTCTGAAGGGCAGTTCTTCACCGTTAAGGGCAGTTGGTGAAAGCAGTGAGACACATGAAGACATTTGTCCTGGAGCAGCAGCTGGGCAGGAGAGGAAGGGACAGCTGCAGCACTGCCTCAGGAAACTCCCCCACAGGACTCTATTCACTCCAGTGCCTGACAGGGGTACTGAAACACAGCAGTGATGAAGCCCATCCGTATTAGGATAAAGCTCGACTCTCAGTGAGCCTGCAATGGCTCCTACCACGAGCTCACCCTGCTTTGGCTCTGATGCTGTTTATCAACTAGCTTCTTCTGAGCCGACAGAAGACACCTTCCTGTGGGCAGACATATCACATCTAAAATGTTCCAGGAAAGCAAAAGCCCATCCATTCACTGTCACTTCACTTCTATGGCAGACAATAAGAGGAAAGCCTACGACTATGTACGTAACCAAACCTCAGCCACCAAACTGGCCTGGCATGTGAGCCTGCCGGCCCCTATACCCATCCACAGCCTGCCCAGCAACTCCACTGCACACCTCAGCAATCTCAGCTGAGATTAGCCATCCTTATGCTCTCAAAACAGCATCTCATGCTATTTTTTCAAATCAGCATTTAGTTTTATCACTCACTAATACGACATTTCCTCTCTCCTCCCCACCCTTCCCCCGTGTATTCAGTGGAATTGCTTCTTCTGCAAATCACACTGCAATTGCTGAACCTTTGCTGATTAGATGAGGAAAGCCCTGTCTGAAAACAAACCAAATGGCAGTAAACAGACCCCTGTGCAGTAAGATGAAGTACTGGATAATGCATGCAACAGCCCTAACAAAAGAACAATCAGTCTCCAGATTTGCATCAGAATCTCATCAAGCTCAGTAGATAGCATCTGCAATTACAATAACCTGCCCCATCCTGCAAAAAAAAAGAAGGAAAAAAGAAAGAAAAGAAAGAAGGAAAAAAGAAAGAAAAGAAGGAAAAAAGAAAGAAAAGAAAGAAGGAAAAAAGAAAGAAAAGAAAGAAGGAAAAAAGAAAGAAAAGAAAGAAGGAAAAAGAAGATGGGAGAGGTAAGGTTGAACACACTTGGATAAATCAAGTTTCCATCTGTTTTGTCAGCATTTTGGGCCCCTTTGAATCCTGGGCACTACTTTCTTCCTTATCCTAAAGTTAGGTTTGTTTATTGTTACTTCCTAGTTTAAGCATCACTTCTACACAGCTGGAAGGTTATTCTGTCCTGTCCCATGCACCATTGCTGTCTGGCCCAACAAGAAGTCAAGCTAGCCCACATGCCTCCATCGACCCTCAGAAAAGGATGCAAGGATGAGAAGTGCCCCAGGCGGCACGCGCTTGTGCTCTGAGAACCAAGCTGCTGGAGGACAAGGATGGCAAACTGTTCCCTACATGGCCGCTACAGGAGGCAAAATTCCATTACAGGAAATCCACTTTGATATTTCAGGTGTGGAAGAAAATGAATTTTGCTTTTTGTCACCAGCAGTCTGGGGCACGGATTCAGCATCGCTTCCTATAGATGCACCTCAGGCAGCCTGCTAGCAAACAGAGGCCATGCTTTCCTTTACTGTTGCCATTTCTTTATGTTCGTGCCTTTAAATAGAGATCCTCTAAGCTATAACATAACCTTAAGAAATGGAAAGTACACCTAGAAGACTAGCACAGGAAGTGCACACACTGCTGCTAACTGCCTCTGTCACCAGCTCAGAAGCAGAGAGCATGTCTTCTTGCAGGGTGCAAGTAGTCCCAGTAAATACCAGGAATGAGATGGAAGCAGCTCCGCCCTAACTCCTACTCCTCCTGTGCATTGCTGCACCACCCAGACAATCCTGGATGAACCAGGTTTTCAAGAAAGATTGGCTCCCATAATTAATCCACATATTTTTTAAGGGAGCAAGAAAGCTTCATGTGCAGAGTTAAGGATTATGTCCTCCCACGGCCAATTTACCACTCCTCAGACCTCCCTGAATGACCACAAACAGCAAAATATTCCACCTGGGTCCCCACGGCTGCACACATGCCTCTGGCTAGCTGGGACCCAATTACAGTTACTGAAAAGCAGCGCATGAAACAGCCCTCATGGCAATCCAGTAATTGAAATCAAGGTGCAAGCAGACCTGCTGCTCCCATACAGCGGGTGATTACTGACAGCATCTCGGCAATTAAAACCAACTCAAGCAACTCACATTGCCAAACAGTTTCAGAGACTGCGTATGAGATTTTTCAATTGAAGCAATAAAAACATAATAGCTCAAGAAGATGCACTGGGTAGCACTGGGCACAACTCCACTGCTTCTGACAGCTATCAGTGGCCAAGCAGATTAATAATTATCCAGGAAGGAATAAGCTGCTACAGGCTGTGCTGGCTGTAAGTACAGACATGTTAAGAAAACAGGAGCAGATTTGCTCGTGTTGGGATATCAAGATGAAAGCTGTCCACTCAGCAGTGATGGCATGTTTTCTAACAACAAGGTTGTCAGCAAAGCCCCTAAAGCAGCAACAGCAAACAGGCTGGATTTGGGAGAAATTCATAAAAGCATGAAAGGATTAAAAAAAAAAAAAAGAACAAAAGTCAATGCAGGTGGTCCTGCACAGGACCAGACCCCACTGCTGGAAGAGTGCACATCCTTAGCACACCTTCATGCTTCTGACACCAAATACCAACCCTGCAAGTGTTGCATCCACGGCCACATACAGAAGAGTGGTGAGCACTGCAAATGTACCTGCTCAGAGCACTGACTTCTCCAAGGACGCCAACAGTGAGCCAGAGCACGATCCTCATGGGCACGTGGGAACTGGCAAGTCCTGTGAATATCAGAGAGCGTTAATTAGTGACAATAATAAGACATGACTGGTGAAAGGAAAGGAAACAAAGTCAAGCTCAGGAGAAGGTGATGGATGCTAGATCTCTGCATTGAACGTATTCCAGCCTAGTTCTTGCCCACAGCTGAGGTACCAGACACAAGGTTCTTAAAGGACTTAACCAGAATCACTGAAGGAAGACGAGGTAAAAGGCGAGACTATCCGTCCCAAGGCAAGACTGTCTGCACAGCAAAGCTTCCTCAGCAGGCAGCGCACTGAAGTTAAGGGCTCAGTAGGGGAGCCAACAAGACTGATCCTTTGAATGAGTGGCTACTGCTAAACTCTCCTGCTCCTTTCTGAGATCCTGTTGAAGATCTGCAGTACAGCACTTCTGCAATTCCTTCTGTTTTGTAAAGCAGACAAATTCCATCTAATGTCAGAGCCACACTGCTTCTGCTTTACTCTTATTTACTCAATGCGATGGTTTCATGATACAAATGGTTTGATATATCCTACCAGTTGTTTTTACACAGCCTTTGACCTGAGTCACACCACATCTAGCAGCACTGAGCAAAAGCAGTGACAGAAATCCACTCCACTGGCTGTGGAAACACCCAGCTGTATGTATTCAAAGTCCCCACTGCACGCCAAAGAAGAGACTTCAGAAAAATAGATGCTTTACAGGAAATGTTTCTAAGCAGCCACAAAGAGACATTTGTCTGGCCATAAGGCTGCGGCAGAGGTCACCATGTAGAGTAACAGAGAAACATGTAATGGAGTTTTACTCTTTCCTGTTCTGAGGTAATTGTCTGGGGACGGCAATGAGCGCGGTGGCTGAACAGCCATCCCGAAGCACGTTTTACCTGAGAGCAGAATAGAAGGTGGGGAAAGTAAGAAAATGGGAACAGCAAAACTGCGCAGGGAAAGCGGGGGTGGGACAAGAACTGTGAGCAGCTCTTCAGTCAGAGCACCAAACCAGCAAGGGGGATGTACCAAGGCTCTAACAACCGGATCAGCTTAAGGACATATTTCCTGCCAACTGGAGGACCTCCTTACAAACTGCAAGAAAACCTACTCACACAGCTCATCAGTTTACCTTGGACTGAGAAGAAGAGACTGACTTGTTTTCCCTAGTCTCTGCGAGTGACTCACGGATGTCAACCACATCTGTGATTTTTTTAAATCGAGAAAAATTGTAACCCATTCAAACCCCCTTTCTCTCCTTTCCCATTACAGAAGGACTGAAGGCATTTATAAGCATGAAACCAGTGCTGAAGACCACAAGACACAGACGTTGGACGCAAGCCTCAAGCACAAATTTTCCATCACTGTTTATAATGCTCTCCCTGTCGCTTTACATTATCCCTCTAATAAGAACATAAGTTATTTATTCACATTATATACCTCCAGGAGGGTCTTTGTTGTATTTCTTTTGAAGTCACTAAGTGAACACCGTTCTGCAGTGGAACATAAAATCTCTACAAAGACAGAAATAATACAACACAAACCCAATCTGGCCAATAATCTTCAGCGACAGCTTATTTATATAATACAGAAATGCAGTTTTCCCCCAGCAAGGAAATTCCTGCCTTGGCTTCACATGGCTTACATCTGAAAGGAGCTACATTAGCTTCATAGGGCTTTATCTGTGTCGGCACCAATCCATTCCTGCACCAGAGCTCAGCCTGCTGCTAAGGAAAGCATCCAGCACTCCTGTGGAGGCAACCATTTCTCCTTTCCTCTTCCTCCATCCCGCTCCTCTAACAACTTTCTGGATGCAATTGCTACTATTGGATAACATTACAGAAACATTACTGGCAAAATTCAAACCCGTCTCCTACTGATACTGTTGAGCAAGGCAAACAGAGATAGTTGCAGCTTCACTAAGTGCTGCTGCCTGCTGGATTTAATAAAACCCACATGCAGGTAGCATGGCTTGCCATCCCAAAGCAAGCCCAACACTCAGACAAAGCATTTTGTCCCATAGCAGCCAAAAACACTGAAAACACTGCTTGGTGCCAAGGACTCAACCGTATGCTGCGTCCATACTGCAAGGCAACCAAATTACAAAGCACAGGGGTAAAGGACCACCACGCAATGCTGAGTGACCTACAAAGAGAGAGGATAAGGAACATGGGTGTAAGCAGAGCAACAAGGCACAGAAACAGCATGACTTTGCACAACGGGTGGGCAGCAGCTGCTCTCTGCCACTTGATAGGCCTTGGTGATCTTGGTACACCTTTTCCAACCTATATGAAGGCAGCTCTGGCCAAAAAAGCAAATGAGGGCAGTGAGAGGACCCAGTGGCTCCAACTGCTCTGCCAATCCCTAGGACCGACCATACAGCTTTGCTAATTTTCCTATAAAGAGCACTCCCTATTAAAGAGGCCTCACTTTTAAGACTAAATAGGGGTGTGGGGTATTTCTTGTCAGCATTGAGAAATCATGAAGTTTTGTTTAAGAGGCTCATGGTGATCTTCTTCCCCTCTCCTAAGGACTGCCAGTGATGGTCTTGCAACACCAGCATCTTTAAGCTCAAGCAAAGAGCTCTGGACTTACCACAGACTACAGCAAGACTTAGTTTCTATGTGGCTTTTAACAGGAATGATGTGCAATCTCCTCCAATACAAGCACGTTTGACTAACTCCTAGGGTATGGAAGCACACCAAGAGAGATATCAAAAGTATTCAGGCTCCACAGCCCTCAGAACTTGAAAAGTCATCATCAGGGAAGCAATACACTAACAGTGAGCACCTAACATGACAGCTCTTCAGCCTGAGACGGGTCAGATAAATGTTTATAACAAGGCAAGCATGAAAATAAACCTACCCCTAGGCCTATGGCCAGAGAACAGGATGGCAGAATTTGTCCTGTTCCCTCCCAGAGAGGGGCTAAGACATCATGCCCACATCTGCAGTGTATTTAAGCAGAGAAATGCTCTGCTTGATACATTTGAAAGAAATGTTTTATTTAAGAGCTGAGCTTAATGTCTTTCTGGGGGGAGAACTCCCCTGGGTTAATTGGGAAGCTGAACATTTTCAGCTGTTACTCTGCTGTCTCTCAGCAGCACACCTCAAAGGACTTTACCAACTTCAAAGCCTCTCAGAAGCGTTAGCACACATTGCAGCAGAACAAGTCTACAGTGAAATCAGCACCCAGCTTCCTGCAGGACATGGCTGCACTCAGTACGCGGTGCTCACTCCCACTGATGCTATCCCATCCCACAGGACGTCCAACTCTTCCAGAACAGCCTTTTCCATCTTCCAAAACCTCATGGAATTTATCAGTGTACTCTAAAACATGTTTCTTTCCCCACCACTCCCATGAAACTGGACAAGCAGACCTTCCTTCACACACAGCAACTGTTCATGGTGGAGACAGGAGGGCCCCAGCACTCAGGTTTCCTCTCACACCTTTGGGGTGCAAATAACACAATTTCACTGTTCCAAAATAGGCAGCACAGCCTTTTCCCTCCTTCTTGTCCCAGTCATCTACTTCACATTTGTGGATCAAATGAACCACGGTTGCTGCCAACCAGAAATCATCCCAGAAAGAAGAAAATAAAAAAAGGGAAAGGATACCGATTCCTGGCAGGAGCAATTTGCCATCAGCTAAGCTGATAGGAAGCATGGCCCAGGAAAGATGGCACAGTGGTACAACTGGAAACATAGGTGAGACTTTCAAGCTATGGCACAGCTCTGGGAAGAACCAACCCCTCCTGATGCACATCTCAGCACAGGATAAGTCACTCAAAACCACTTTAACAGCTCCATTCACTGCTGAACATGCCCCGGCCGCTCACTTTTCTGCAAACCCACTGGAAACAGCCAGGTGATGTACCTCTTGATATCTACAGATAGAGCTGATATGCCCTAACAGCCACACACACTGCAGCTGCGTAAATCTTGTGGCTTAACGAAGAACAGCAGGACATATGGGTGGGTGTTTTCTTTTGCTGTGAGTATGCCATAGCTGAAGGGTGTTCTCAAAAGGTTTTCAGGAAAAGAGCAAGGCCAGACACCAGACATATGCCAATGATCTAGCAAAAGCTCTTAAGGAAAGCAGACAGCAGCATGCTGACAATAAATACATACAGGTCTTTGCAGTATCAAAGTTCAAAAACATCCAGATGTTTTCAAGGCTGTCACATCCCCAAGTGCCAGGCTCATGTCTCCAATGCCCCCCAGCCCACTCTTTCTCCAGCTGCATGGGTGGAGGCTCAGGGATCGAGGGCTGCAAGCAGGAGACCTCACCATCAAAACAGCAAAAGCACAAATGGAAGAAGTAAAAGCCACGAAGCCATGCTACACGGAGGGAGCTTATACATCTGTAGGCTTAGAAATGACACTGTACCCCGAAGTATCATCTACTTACAACCATCCGTCTGAGCAACAGCTCTACCTAGCTCTTCTGTCCCTGGTTCTCAGAGACAAATGAGGCAGAGCTCATCTCTCCCTCTCTTTTTTTATTTTATTAAGGATTATGCAGCATTAGTCACACAGTTCCTGACACGACCACCATGAGGCCTCCAGGCTAGTCTTGCTTCTGAGCTGGGAGCAATCTCTTCTGCACCCTCACCCCAAAACCACCAGCTCTGCTGGCACCCAGCATGGATAGAAAAGCACAGTTAAAACCCTTACACTCGAGTCTCACCCTTCACAGAAATATCCAGTGCTGCTTCTCTACTTTATATGTTTGGGGTTTTCTTCCCTGAAAACAGCACAAGGCATTGAGTTTCCATGGCATTCAAATCAATTAACCAACCAAGCATCTCCAAACGCCCTGTTCTCAGTTCTCCTGATAACTGTTACCATGTAGAGCACATGCACTCCCCAGAAATATCCCGAAGCATCTTTAACAAAGCCATAAATTTTATTGTAAATCTCGAGCTTTTGCCTCGGCAGAAATTCGTCTTACATCAGTTACAAGAAAACAAAGCAACCAGACAAACCTGACTGATTAATTCAGGGCAGTTTTAACACAGCAGATATCAGCAGGCATTTTCAAGTCAGCCGCAACCCGCTGAAGCCACAGCTCTCATGCTGGGCAGGACACTTTATCTCAAACAGCTCCCTTTTGCCCCTCTCAATTAAATGGGCTCACTGGCAGGTCTGACACACCTCAGAGCTGGCCACGAAGGAGCAGGGCTGGAGCCTGATAAGCAGCAGGATGATCCCTCCCTTTCGGCAGCTGCAGGGGTTTTTATCACAAAGCCACAGCACAAAGCTCCCCAGTTTGGATGGAGGTAGACCTGCAAGGTTCTTGCCTGCCTATACTGGAGGAGAAGTTTTTGTTTCCACTAAGCTGAAAGCACAGCCTCAAGTCAAACAACTCCCATAGTCAAATCTTCCACAGTTTTCCAAAAGCCCCACTTGACATCCTCCCACTTTCCACCCCCACCCACTTGATCTCACCCCAAGCAGCCTCCACTGGGTCCCTTCACACACGAAAGCGTCAGCACGGAGCTGCCAGGTCACCTCTTGAGCTCCTCAGGGCTGAGCAGATGCAGTGCCAGAAGGTCTCTAGGCTCGGAAATAAGGGAGGACCCAGAGGAGCTGGCTCCCTGATGTTGGCACATGAATATCCAGTTGCTTGTGGATTTTCAACACACATCATGGTACAGCCCAGCCAGTGCTAATAGTCTAGCAGTCTCTAGTCTCAGCCCATCCACGAGGTCAGTTTGCAGTGCTATGGCAGTTTGAGCACAAAGGGAACTTAGTTCAAGGAAGCCAGACAGAGACAGCACCCATAAAGCCTGCTGTGGGACTGATACTTCAGCTTAAGGCTGTCAAAGGGTGAGGCAACCACCAGGCTCCGCTAGCTCAACTTCCAGATGTGGAGAGCAAACAGGAGCATGGGCTGGGAGTCTCTGGGAGGCCAGTGGTGCCAGCACCAGCCCTTCTCCCAGGGAGCTGTGTGATAGGTTGGGACAGCAACAGCTCAGCCACCTGGGAAATGATGCAGCAATCTGATGGGGATGCAGATGTGACTCAAAAATACTTCAGTAAAGCACAGTGCCAGCACAGGACCAGCCCAGCCGTTGTTGCCTTGGCACAAGCAGCCGAGAGGTGATTTAACTGAGGACCAGGGACGTGAGAGCCACCAAGCAAATCAACGCTGAGCTACAGGTTTCCTTGTGAAACTCATGAGACAAATCAGCAGGCCAAGAAAATACCAATGCTTTGAAACAGTTTTGGCAACCATACCTGGTTAGCACCGCAATCGGCACCAGTAAAAACACGCAGAGCTTGTGACCTACTTCTAACTTTACCACCCACATTACATCCTCCCTGGTAAGTCACCTCTGTTCTGGCAGCGATGCTCTCACTGCTGCTTTTGACTCATGAAACTGAGGGGGGAGGGAAGAAGCAAGACGGTAAGAACAACACAACCAGAGACTACAATGACAGGTTTTCAAGAAACTAAATTTCTGCCTGAAATCCCTAAACACACCAGTCCTTCTCTTACCAAGTGCCCTCCTGCCTGCTCTGTACTGAAATCATTGGCAACTTACTGCCAGCACAGATTTGCTGCTGAGATTAACAGCGATTAAAACAGGGAAGGACATGCTGAAAATTTTCACTTTGGGAAAGTCACACAACTATATTAAAACGCGAGCAAAAAGGACATAAAGTACAGCTGGAGTAGACGATTGTAGCACTTGGTCCCAACCTTAATGATGCTATGATTCTAAGCATGCCCCCAGCCCACGTGCTGAGTCCCAAGGAATGCGGCTGCCGTGGGGCAGAAGATTTAAGAACCAGAGCTGAGGTTTGATGAAGTCCTGCTGCGTTCCATCTTCACACTGTGTAAAGCTGAATGGTCAGACAGCGCTGGCTCTTGTGCCTGATTTCCAGGATCCAAGCCACGAGGAGAGCTAAAAATATCCCAATTAACCATTCCTTTCCAACGCGGATAATACCCTGCCACTAGAGTATATTATATGACTGCAGACAGGAAGATGCGGTCTGCAAACAGAAAAAAAAAATCAAACTGGGAAAAGAACCAGCCAGGAGAGCCACCTCTGAAATCAAGTGCGGGCCACACCACCAAAAAACATGCAGAGGATGTGCTAAATGTGCTAAAACTCCTGCTGTGGCTCCAATGCACTCACAAGCTTTCACCCCAATCTGACACACACACAATAACACTTCCATGCTATCTGCCCTGCCATCACACAGAGCTCGTTGGGGACACGTCCCTTTCAAGCCATCTCCCAGCTGCTGTCTGTGCCCTATGTCATCATGCATGCCACGAGTTAAAGCAGGAAGCCTTCATTTGTGGTACAATCCACGACAAGCAGACTGCTAGGCTCCAAGAGGCAGCACGGCTCCAGAGCCAAGCATTTCTTCACACACATTTCATAGTGATTTTTTCCACTACCCAATCTTTATGCTGACATCTACACTTTTAAATACAAGCTGTGGGTAAGTCAGGGGTACGCTGACAGCAGCACACCGGGGAGAACCAGCAAATCCTGTCAGTTCAAGGCTGTGCACAGGCTTTATGGTAGAATTGCATCTATCTCCCAGGCACGGGGCTACCATTAATGGAATTAGCAGGCATGCTGTCTCAGCCTTACCGAGGTGGGATAGGGTGGCAGCTGGCCAGCCCCATCCAACTCCATCCACACTGCCTGCCCAGCTTTGCCGTCTGCCCTAATGAGCCCAACACATGATGAGGGCTTGGAATAAAAGAAGAAAACACGAGCTGTCCAGGACAATCAGTATCTCTCTAGGAACACCCAGACCCCGCATCAGGAATCCTCCAGTCTCACTGAGCTCTCATGCAGCACAGGATGGGAATGTGTGCCAGTGGTGCCCAAGCAAGCCCATGGCTGAGGAACACATCCAGCCATCCCACAGCTGCAGAAAGTGCACAAGTCCTGGCATCTGTTCCAAAAGCGTTGCACAAAACAGAGACCGCTCTTCCCAAGGCACATCACAGCAAAGCAGCCAAGACTTCACCACAGACACTGCCCTGCATGAGGTTCAACATGGGCAAACACGAAGTCCTACAGCTGGGGAGGAATAACAACATGCACCAGTACAGGTTAGGGGCCGACCTGCTGGAGAGCAGCTCTGCAGAGATGGAGCTGGGTGTCTTGGTTGACCAACAGCTGACCACAAGTTGACCATGAGCCAGCAGTGTGCCCTTGTGGCCAAGAAGGCCAATGGCATCCTGAGGCATGTTAAAAAGAGCATGGCCAGGTTGATGGAGGTAGTCATCTCCCTCTAGTCTGCCCAGGTGAGGCCACATTTGGAGTACTGAGACCAGTTGGGCAGTTCAAGAAAGATGAGAAACTTCTAAAGAGAGTCCAGTGGAGGGTCACAAAGATGTCTGGGGCCTGGAGCATCGCCTATGAGGAGAGGCTGAGAAACCTGCGACAGTTTTCAGCCTGAAAGACTGAGAGGGGATTTATCAGTGCTTACAAATATTGAAAGGGTGGGAGTCAAGTGAATGGGGCTGGGCTCTTTTTAACAGCGCCCAGTGATAGAGCAAGGGGCAACGAGCACAAACTGCAACATAGGAAGTTCCACCTGAACATGAGGAAGAACTTCTTTACCGTGACAGAGCACTGGAACAGTCTGCTCAAAGAGGTTGGAGGGTCTCCTGGACACTTTCCTGTGTAAACCTACTTTAGTAGGGGGTTGAACTTGATGATCTTCCAACCCCTATGATTCTGTGATTCCATCCTGCATGAATTATCACATAGCCATGTTAAGCAACATGCAGCGTGGCATGACCTAGTCCCTTAAATCATCCCTGCACTACCTCAAAAAAGTCAAGTAGGAGCACAAGCCACCAAAAGCCAACAGAGATGCAGCAAGCAAGCCTACTGCAAAGCCCAGAGTGTGTTGCAACTCAGCATCCCTAGGGACAGTTCTTTGCACAAAGTTTCCATAGATTAGGGCTTTTCTTCCCTAGACACCTGCAAAGAGACTTCGGTCACACGCAGGGAGCACGAGTAGAAGATGGAGATCCATCAGCTCTCAGTGTTTGCCTGCATCGTACATGAGGAAAATGAGGGAGATCGGGGATGCGGCTGATGGAGCACAGCTGAAGCCAGTGCCCTCGTGCCCCACACCTGCACTTGCTCTGCAGCTGCTCTCCGCAGCACAGGGGGCAGGAAGGCAGGCTGCCTCGTGACAGGAAAAACCCTCGCAGCACTGAGGAGGTGAAACCTCACATCTGAGAGCATCTGTGCAAAGTGCAGCCAACTCACAGCACGAAATGTTTCTTCCAACTCTGTAGAGTCCAGCAGACGCTTTGCAAAAACTAAGCAGGGGAAACACCATGGCACCTCAGGCGGGTGGGGTCTGCCAGGAGGGATACTCACAAAAACCTCCCTGTTTCTGTGCATAAAAAAAAAGTGAAAGGCAAGAGCGCACGGTCCTGCAGCTCAGTGGGATCAATGTCAAAGAGAGAGGAGGATGACTGAGAAAGGAATGATGCACGTGCAATGCTCTCCAGGCTGGCAAGCAGGGGGAAAGCTCACATGGGGTTAAAATAATGGCTAAGGTACAGCACTGTCAGAATTGTGAGTCAAGCTCGCAGTCAGTCAGGAAAGCAGGCTAAGGAGGGGTGTGGTGGCGGTTGTTGGTCGCTGCCATTTGGGGTTTTTTTGAAGATAAATGTGTTTGCTGGCTGATGTCCCCTTGGCTGAAACACAAGCAAGAGAGCAGCCTGCAGCCACGAAAACAAGCAGCGAGAGGCAGGAGGGCTTCTGAAGAGCTGCAAGCGTGCTGCTTGGGCCCTTCAAAGAAAGACAAAACATTAAAAGGGACACGCAGACAAAAACTTCTCAGTGGTCTCGATAAAATAGCAGATACTAACGTGAGACAAAACCCATCCCCAGCCCAGAACCTGTCAAGGAAGAGCGATAAACAACAGAAGAGCGGAGCTACACGCCGGCGCCTCCCGCAGCACAGCCGCACAGCTCCGGACCCGCTGCCGCTCCCGCAGTCCCGGCGCAGCGCCCGCTCCGCGCCGCCGTGCCACGCACCGCCCCGCCGTGCCACGCACCGCCCCGCCGTGCCACGCACCGCTCCGCTGTGCCACGCACCGCCCCGCCGTCCCGCAGCCGCCACGCGGCCCGGACGCCCCCGCGGAGGGAAGGCGCCCCGCTGTATCCGCGGCAGAGGACGCAACGACTTCCCCGCCTCGAGGGTCCGCAGCTCCCTTCCGGGGGTTCTCCGCGCGGGGAACGGGGGATGCGGTGGCAACACCGCGGGCACCCCGTGAGGAGCGGCAGAGGCGCTCAAAGACCCCGCATCCCCCGCCCGGACACCCTCACACACACCGACATCCTCCCGCGCGCCCCCCCGCACGAAGCCCCGCGATGCTCCGCTCCTCACCGCAGGCGGGCGGCCGGCAGCTCCCGGCCTCGCCGCGCATCCCATCCTCCGGCGCGCGCCCCAACGCCCGGCCCGGCCCGCGCGCTCTTTCGCGCAGGCGCAGTGGGAGGCCGCGCGGGGCCGGGTGTTTCCAGCGGGGCGGGAGCGTCTCGCGAGACGAGAATAGGAGAGGCACGAGACAGCTGGATCAGCGGATGGGGAATTAGCTCAAATGGTAGAGCGCTCGCTTAGCATGCGAGAGGTAGCGGGATCGATGCCCGCATTCTCCAGTTTTTCTTCCCTCACTCTACACTCAAGACACCTCCGTTTATTTCAGCTTTCTTAGGTTGGGGGCTGGAGATGGGCGACGCGATCGTAAGAGGTCTGTCCTTATGATCTGTAAATGTATTTTGCTATTAAAAAAAAATCTTTTTACATATTCTTTTAAAAAGGATTGATAGAATTGTAGAAACCATTTAGGATGGAAAAGATCTCTTTGGTTATCAAGTCCGACTGAGCACTGACAGGTGTACGACTTCTCTAAGGACCACATCTGTATGTCTTTTAAATACCTCTAGGGATGGTGACTCAGCCACTGCCCTGGGCAGCCTGCTGCAATGTCTCACAACCCTCTCCGTGAAGAATTTTTGCCTAATATCCAATCTAACCCCTGCCCCCAGTGCAATCCCAGCTCCCTCACCATCAGAGTTGTACTCCAGACCCCACACAGCTCCATTGCCCTTTTCTGGACACGCTCCAAGGCCTCAATGTCCTTCTTGTAGTGAAGGGCTCAACACTGAGCACAGCACTCAAGGTTCAGCCTCACCAGTGCTGAGTACAGGGGGAGGATCGCCTCACACAAACAAGCTTTGCAGGGCCATACTGCACTGCCACAATTTTCTTGCACAGTTAGGGCAGTGCTGTACCCTGGCTGAGGACCGTGTGCACTTCTCCTTGTGCAGCTTGTAACCACACTCTTTGAAAATCATTCTGTCCCCACCACCCTTCCTTTTAAGCTGCAAAGCCGTGCAAGTAGGACAGTTCTGGGTTGAAAAGAGGATGTGTTTCTGTGAAGTGATCATTTTGTATAAATTTCCATAGATTCTCAGTGGAGAGAGACTGCTCTTCTGATACCTCCCAGCCCCTTCCAGAAAATGATAACAGCCAGACCGAGGTCTGAAAGGCAGATGAGTGGATGGAGGTGAAAAGTTTGTTCTCATCTTTTAAGAGTGATTTATACTGAGGATTTGGAGTCCTGGACAAACTCATGCAATAACCAGCTGTCACTTCAGCAGTCTTCAAAGCTGTATAAATGGTTCAAATATTCGTGTGCAGCAGGATTTAATGGGAACTTGAGATCTGTCACAGCCTCCTCTTTCACCAGCTGCTGCACAGCCGATGTAAGGAGACTCCAAGGCAAAATATGGGTGTATTTATGGTCCAATTCTCTCTTTCCCCCACTACCTGCAAAGAACAGCTTCACCCATTCACCCGCTCCAGCCCTGGTCCTGTGTCCCCTGGGTGACTGCAGCAGCGAGAGCCCGAATGTGCACAGCTGGGGCTGCACCGCCCTCTGCAGCTCGGCTGCTGCTGTGCTGAGCAGATCCTTCACCAGCTCAGAGCTCTGGAGCCTCTCTCGTTAACTAACAGCATGCTTCTTGTCCAACCTAGCGGTGACCACAGCCAGAAACTGTACGCCTTAGGACAATATATTGCACAAATACTCAAAGCACTATTTCCTTATAACAGCCCCCACCCCCAAAATAGACGCAGCACGAAACAAAGAGAGCAGCTTTTCTATTATGAGAACAAGACGACCACATCAGAGAGCCAAACATTCCTCCTAATGGCTTTCTTGTGGGAATCTCTGCTGAGCCGTCACAGCACAGAGCCACCATATGTTTGCACACATGCAGCTGGGGAGCATTTGCTCCCATTTGCCAGGAGCTCAAAGCTTGCAGCCCCCGGCCACTTGCTTGCCAGCAGCATGTGCTGATCGACCTCCCTTGTGCTGTTCCTGCGGCACTGTGGCTCTGAGTCCTGCTATCAGATTCTCCACCCCGGCTCCACAGATGCTGGGGATGCTTTTTCTCTTCCAAGAGCTTTATCAGCCTGCTGGCTCTCAAGGAATGGCCCGCGTTCTGCATTTGCTCCCCCCACAAATCTTCACAAGCTCTAGGAACAAATGGCTCTCAGGCAGAAGGACGGGCTGACAGAGAGAGGAAGGAAGTGCCAACGGCCAAACCTGGGCTCTGAGTGTGACAGATGGGGCTGTGTGCATTCCTACAACTCGCTGCCACAACTCACGGCTTGCTGGTAGGCATCACACAGTCATGCTAGAAAAAGAGCTGTCACTACCCTGAAAATTTGAATGTTTTTAATTGCAATTAAGCGCATGCACAAAGGCATGGTGAGAGCAGAGAGGACAGAATGGCAGAGTGCTGGAGGGCAGAAAGACAGAGCTTTCAGCTTATGCTAATGAGTTTAATTCTGAGACAATTTAAGTAGCCGTCTGGATTGCTTGCTCTAGGTCATGTGCATATGGACATCAGCTTTAAAATGAAGTCATCTTAAATGCAGAGATGTGTCCCGACCTCTCCAGGACACAGGGCTGCCCTGCCTATGTCCATGGAATCAAAGGGGTTGAAAGAGACCTCAAAGATCATCTAGTTCCAACTCCCGTGGATACTGGTGTGCTCTCCTTAATGCCAGCCTAAAGAAGAGAGAAACCCAGCTGGGAGGCAGGTGTGCACCATTTCCCCTGGGGTGTATTGTGATCCGTGAGTGGGACACCCTGTCTGCTGCAGAAATGCCATTTGATTGTTCCCAAGATGCCCCAAGTTGTCCCCACAGTGAGGTCAGCCAAGGGGGCAAAGGGGTTTCTGGCTCCCCAAGCCAGCAGATCTCCTGCATTGTGCACTTACTGTGTTCCTGTACTGCTCTGTGTTTTGCTCTCTCCATGCTGTGTGTAGGGATGAGCAATAAGATGCAATTTCAGAGCACTATTGCAGCCTCTTCCACAGACTTCCTTATGCTCATGGCCTTTCCACCAGGCAAAAGCAGCCATTCCCCACTGCCTGCAGCATCCTTCCCCACCCAACTTCTGTTGGTCATCTGCTGGATGGCTCGTGCCATCCCCAAGCCACACATCCTCTTATCCCTTACATGGTCCTCATGACCCAGCTCAGACAAACTCAGACCTTGGGAGCAAAGAGATGAGAAAAGAATGCAAAACAGGGCTGCAGGCTTGCTGTGCTGTTATCACATCCACACGGGGCTATCCATGCAGCCACTCTCCTGCCCCTACAGGAATCCGATGACCCAAGGCTGCAGGCTAGAGGACAGCCAGGTGTGAAGTATGACTCCTGGCACAGGTCGCAGGGACAAATGGCCATTCATAAACTGCTTCTGTGACCATTGGGTTTTGTGGGAAGCTTGCTCTGGCACCACTGTCAGACCACATCCTGCTGCAACCACTGCCAGCCTTTGGAATTTGCAATGAAACAGGGCAGTGATCCTCAGTGCCACCTATTCTGCAGCCTCCTTCTACACCAAGGAGGAAAAACACAACCACAACCCAACAGTGCCCTTCTCCCTCTAGCAGATACCACGTGCACAACAACAGAGGTTGCATAGTAACAGCAAAAGGAAAACACCTGCCTGTTCACCACACAGACCTGAGCAGAGAGGTATGTATCAGCATGGCAACGGGCCTGGGAGCTCCTTAAAATTTCCCTTTTGGTTAGCAAAGGGGAGCACCAAAGGGTTTTAGAACAGGGGCTGCTGTGTCAGAGAGCTGTCAAGCGAGCTGGGGGCACGGGGTGCTTTGTGGGAGTACAAACATCAGAGAAGCCAAGATTCTGGTTGGTGAGGGGGGGTAGCTCAGTGTGTCATTCAGAGAGCTCTCAGCACTCTGCAGTCTTTCCCTGCCCTGTGAAAGGCTGAAAGAGTTTTCACCATGATTAGAAGTACCAGGAAACAACAGCAAGCTGGGGAGCGGCCAGTAGTGGGAAGAGGAAGAGAACTGGGTGATGATGAGCGTGCCCCAGCCCCGGCCACGTACACAGAGTTGGATGGGTGCGTGCAGCCCAGGGTTGCAATTCAAAGCACTTGAAGCAGCACTGATGGAGGGAGCAGGGGAGAAAACTGTGCCACCGGGGCTGGTAGAGGGCGCAGAGGGCACCACACGTGCCCCTCAAGCTGCCCCCATAGGCAGCCACCAGAACACTGAGGAATGGGTTTTGTTGTTGTCCCCAGATGGCCCGTAGGAAGGAGTCGGCTCCCAGTCCAAGAAGGATATCTCAACGTGTAACTTTTGGTCCTCTGGTCCCTTGTGCATCGCTTCTCTACAGCGATGTGCCCTGGTGCCTCTGCTCTGAGGGTGGGGGATTAGAGGGGGGGGAAAGAGGAAAATAGGGAAAAATGGGAAAAGGGGTAGAGGGTAATGAGGGAGAAAGGATTAGAAAGAAGGGAGAAAAGAGGAAGAAAAGAGTGGGGAGAAAGGAAAAAGAGGGAAGGGGAAAGAAAGGAGAAGGAAGAGGGGGAAAGAAAAGAGAGGGGAAACAAGGGAAGGCAGTACAGGAAAAAAGGGAAGAGGGAGGAGAGAAAGGGGGTAAAAGAGAGACGACGGGAAG